TCGCCTTTACTTTCTCTAGATCTATTTATACGCCTTTTTCTACTTTAATAATAAACCCTAGGTATTTTATCGATTTAACCTCGAATTCATACTTATTAATATTAATCTATAGTCCTACCTTATATAGGCATTTAAGGACCTTCTAAATATAATTCTAGTATTCTTCTAATAATCTATATAAATAGATTAGGATATCGTTAATATAGGTTAAATAGAAGATATTAAGATAGTTATGTAAGGTCTAATTACTATACTTCTAGAACGTACTAAGTGCGTTCACTAATCTAAAAGGGGTAATAAGTTATTTATATAGTCTATATCTTATATAGAATACTATCTTCTATTTATCTCCTTCTATAATATAAATCTAGTAGAATACTATAATAACATTAAGCTTTATATACTATTTAGCTTATCTAATATTTTATAGTATCTTATAGATTAATAGTAGAGAGTACCGATCCTTCCTTATAATCCTATTTAACTTACGGTAGTCTATATAGAATTGAAGTCCTTCTCCTAGCTTCCGTATAAAGAGGACTAGCGCTACTATTAGCGAGTTACTTACTTAGATAAATCCCTTATTAAGTAGCTCTATAAGCGTCTTCTATAGAATAAGTAATTCTTCTCTTAATATACTATATAACGGGCCCTAAAGTACCTTAAGAGTCTTTCTATTATCCTATACGAGGTCTATCGCATAGTCCACCCCCTTCTCTTAAAGTGGCGGTAGTTTATCCGCTATTATCTTATTAAATATATTAAGGAAGGAGTATAGATATTCTAGTAGCTTCGTATAGAGGTCTATTATCTTTTTAATTACTAGGGCTTTATTAATATTAGCTAGACTAGTAGCGAATACTTATATACTCTTCTATTTATATTATCACTATGTAAGTAGAGAGAAAGCCGCCGCACTTATAAGGCTAAAGTTAACCTTTAGGGGGGTCGCTTTTAATTCGTTTTATATACGTATCCTCTATAGTCCTAGATATAGATAGAACTTCTTTAGATAAAGCTATATATTATTCCGTTTTATCTAAGGAAGCTCTAATATAATATCGTACGAGGCTAAGCTTAGGATAATATATAGGAAGATAATTTCCTTATATCTATTAATATCGATCTCTAATTTAGCTACTTCTAAGATTAATAAGTTTATTAATTTATTAAATTCTATAATAGATTAAGAGGGAATCTATATATGCTAGAGATTCTATCGAGAAGTAAAATAAGTATTAATAAGATCGTATAATAAGTAGCTAGAATTTATAAGTATAGATATAGAATACTCTTTATTTACTATTAAAGGTACTAAGAAAGGTAATCTATTAATTAAGCCTTAAAACCCTCGTTAGGCTTCCTAAATCTCTATACGCTCCTAATAGCGATTTTTATTAGGAGCTACTCGTTTTTTAGATCCTCTTCACCCTCTTTCTCTATAGTTATAGTTATAGCTACCGTATATCCGGTTTAAGGATGTATTACTAGGAGTAGGGAGTATTAGCGTACGAAGTGTTCTCTAGATCCGTAACGAAGATAGCGTCCTACTTCCTTTTACTTATCTAATATCTCCTTAGATACCTATTAGGCGCGCTACGTACGTATAATAGCCGCGGTAGTAGTGTCTAATAGCTCCTACTTCATCATATCTTCCGCTAGAGTAACCTTAATTAGTACTAACGAACCCTTAGTCGTATGGGGCTTATCCCGTCCCTTCTTACGTTAGAGGTTCTCTAGGTTAGTACTAATAATATAAAGTAACGTATAGTACTCCTTATAGGACCTTAGGTTAGGGGTTACTATAATCGTATTCTATAGCTTATACGATAGATAGTTAGTTAGGAAGGTCTTTTTAACCTAGTTATCCTAGCTAAGGCCGCTAGCGTCTAGTATTATACGGTCAAATTTAGCGAGGAACGTACTAAATGTCTTTATCTCTTACTATATAAAGCTAAGCTTCTAAGATACTTACTTAGTGACTTCGTGGTCTTTATACGCCGCCTATAGTTACGTAAAAAGACCTTAAACCGTTATCTAGTCTATTAAAGTAACTATATCCACCTAGGCGCTAACTTACGTAAGGGCTTCTCCTTATAATCTACTATATATATACTAAAATCGTATAATCTTAGTATCCTTATCCTTATCGACACTAAGCTTCGCCTTTACCTACGTAAGTTATAGTCAAAATTCCGTCCGCTTTCCGCTAAACTCAGGGAGTTTAGGGAGTTTTTGATGTTTCTTATCTAATAATTCGCGTACGGCCATTAGTTCCTATACGTTACTATTCTCCTATAATGTTAACTTAGGAGTAGGGGTACTCCCGCCATTCTACTAGTTCTAGAGTAGCTACTCTAGACCTTCCATTCGCTAGTTCTATGTCTGAACTATCTGATATAACTACGCTACCCACTCCGGAGGAGCTAGACCTAATGTAGACGACGAATCCATTTCCATTGTCGATACGTACGGGGAGGTACGAGAAATGGGAGATTTATCCTAATGTAAGGGTTTAGAAAGAGTTCTATAACTAGCTAGCTAATCTAGTAATAAGGAGGATAAATCTGAGGAGAGAAAGGAAGAAGGAAGAACGCTCTCTCTCTCCCTCCTTATATCGTACGCTCTACTGTAAGGGGTACCCATTATCTTACCTTCTCTCCCTTATCTCCCTCTTCTATATACGCTATCTACCCCTTGCGTACGTTCTCCTTACATCTTATTTCCCTCCCTTACCTCCCTCTTCTGTATACGCTATCTACCCCTTGCGTACGGTATGTTGTTCCCCCGCCACACGTGACTGTCGGGCTTGGCGCTGGTTCCTCCGAACCGAGCCTCCTTTAGGGTTTAACCCATCACAGTACGTGACGGAACTCAGCCTAAGTTCCATAACTAATACTTCCTAGGAAGTAGGCCTAGGGGTTATATATTACTAATCGAGCTAGTTAGATCCCTCTATCCGTTAGCTTTATACTTTAGGCTTAATAGAATTATTATAATAGACCTTCGCGGACGAAGAGCGCCTTTTGAGGGGTGGTGATGTCATAGCCTAGCTGACCGTATGTGGGATACCTTTGCGAGGCTCGTACGCGAGGCTGGCTACCCCGCATGCAAGGCTGGCCACCCCGCATAAGGCTGAGCGTGTAAACATTCTTCTGTCGCGTTCACCGCGCCACTATTAGTTAGACTCCTTCGTCTCAGAATTCATATCATAATTGCACCCTTAACAGTGATATTTCCTGTTCTAGGTTGCGCCGTGATAGCCTAATGGTAAGTTAGGATTCTTATTATGGTATTAATTCTATAGACCTATTGTAAATAAAATAAGTCAATTAGATACTGGCCCTGAATGGGTAGAGTAGCTGACAGTGACATTCCGCCTTCCGCGCCTTCCGCGCCTTCCGCGCCTATTATTGCGGGGGTTTACTTGACATGCGTGAGATTGCCGAATATTGCCTAATGTGACCGTAAACTTCTCCAGACGGGCTAAGTATGGTCCCGGAAGGCTCGTAATGGCCGCAAGGAGATCTCTAGCGGGGTATATTTAGTGGTACACAATAGCCCTTAGCCTAACACTCTACGTGGTGCACCAACCAAGCTACAGCCTCTATGGTTTGGCGCACTGGCGCGCGGAGCTCATATCATCCCAAGGCCGTTGCCCGGGGTGATCTTGTGCCATCCACTCCCCATATTCTTACAAATACTAATTTTCGCCAGACTCTGTGAGATAGGGAAATAAAGATAGATTACAACCTTGATTTCCCGCCTAAGCTGTCCTTCAAGGGTCAATAACTTCGAGAAAAATGGCAACACAAGCTAAAACTATGAAGACACTCCCGATGTTCTCGCTGGAAGGCAAAACTTGTCTCGGTAAGATCTCGAAGGCCAGAACATTTTCGCATGTCATTGTCTGGCTAACTTGCCAAGTCACAGGGTATGTCTGAGATCGCAGTCCGGCCATGTGGCGACAAACGTGAACTAAATGTCATGCTAGAGGAGCAGGCGGCCTGGGCAGAGAATGCCTCACTGCTTTTGCGCAATCTGGAGCGAACTGGTGAGATGGGCGGAGAGGATCAAGCCGGCGAAGCACGTAAAACTGACTCTCAGCAGTGTCTGTGTTGATCTCGATCTCAAAGCGAGCGAGTCCGCCATCAACGATGTTTCCGCGCAAATCCTGCAGGAAAAGGGCTCCGAATCCGGCAAGATGGGCGCCTATGCTTGTGATGCTGTTAATGAAGACGAAGTGGAAGCCACTGTGGCGCAAATTGTAAAGGACTTCGGCCAGATTGATGTCCTTGTCACCTGTGCTGGAATTTGCGTACACGGCGATGCCAAATCCACCGATCTTGCGACATGGCGCAAGGTAATCCAAGTCAATCTGGATGGTACATATACATTCGCGCGTAATGTGGGCAAGCATATGCTGGAGCACAAGGTGGCTGGGTCCATGATTTTTGTGGCCAGTGCTGCATCCTCGCATCCTCCACGGCCCCAAGTGCAGGCATCGTACAATGCTTCCAAAGCAGGAGTGAAGGCGTTGGCGGTGTCACTGGCGACGGAATGGGCTGACCGAGGAATTCGTGTCAACACCCTGAGTCCAGGCTATATGAAAACTCCAATGATGCCGACCACGGACATACAGAGAGAGTGGCTGACGCAAATTCCCATGCGTACGTTGCTGCGCACGTTTCACCCTCTTCGTTCTTAGTGCTAACAAAATGTCATCAGGTCGCTTCGCCGATCCTTGCGAACAACGCGGCACAGTGGTGGGTGCATGAGATATCTTACGATGATAACTGAGAACTGACATAATTTAGGTTTGGATGGCAAGCCCTGCCAGTAGTTATCTGACAGGCGCCGACATAGTAAGTAACAGTCCAGCTGAGTTTCATCTTAAGTTTGCTGACAGGAGATTAGGTAGTAGATGGAGGCTGGTCGCTGTGGTAAGCATGTTGCAATGGCAAAGGGCATCAGAACCCAGATCCTTCAGATATATGGACCGTACAGGGAGTAGAGGTAGATTATCGGTTCTAGGCTTCAGGTGTACCCAAGAAGCAGACTTAGATGGAAATAGGCCCAATGACAGGTCTTGCTAGCTCCAGCCTTCCACCACGCAGCATAGTAAAAGGACCCAACGTCTGTGGTAATTGTAGCCGAGTAGAGTGCCCGATGCATCAGGAAACAGCCACGTTGTCGGGATTGTGTGGCTCTCTGGCTATGACACGGAGCTACATAGCGTTGCGAATAGCGGCCGCCAGGATTGGGTTCCCGTGACGTTATCACTTGACTTCCACCTTGCGTTACATTGGGCCTTGAGGGTGAGTCCAACCAGGAAGCATACCTCAGAATATAAGTTCCAGCATGTGGTAGTTGCTCGCTGACCCATCTTACCGCGGCTGCAAAGATGAGGAGAGGATGTGACGTGAGAATGCTAACCCCCCTGGCTCGATCTCTACGCGGCGAATTCGGCTTGTTACATGGCACGTAGGATAGCCACGGGCAGACCTTATCGCTCAAGTGTCTGAGTAGGCACCCCTGTTTGATATCTATAACACCAGAGTTGCTATCATGTGTGTTGATCGACGCGATTGTGCGCTGAGAGTCGCGATTTCTGGCGTATTAGCTGAACAAACCAGGCTATCATTTCAGCACTCGAGTCAGCCACTGCCCACGGTTTCACGGCGACGGCAACTTGGCTCAACAATTCGGCGGTGTCCGGGACCAGCGGCTGTAGCGCTGGCGTGATGGAGGCCAGCGTCACCATGAAGGTGCAAGCTAGTAAACTGCGATACATCGAGTCAGTGTTTCGAGTATGAGGCGCCTGCGCGACGAGGAAAGGGGTTAATCAAGGGGAACAACTTCCACGGGGCCGCAGAGCTACTCACGCATGTGTGATGATCCAGGTGTACTGAGTCCGGTGCCTAAGAATATGACCTGCCATAGCGATGGAACTTCGGCAACTGTCCAGGCTGAGCTTGCAGTATTCGATGACATGAGGCGGAAAACTGGACCTGTTGGGCGACATGACCACATGGATCACAAACGGGCGACCAATGATATGCATGGCGGACCAATACCGCAGTCGAAGCCACCCGTCGTGGAGATCGCGAGGAGTTTTGTCATCTAGATCTGGCTTGATTTCATCTGGCAGAGACTCGTACCAGCTCTTCAGTTGCCGTACTAGCTCGGCGCAGACGCTTTGAAACTTGGTTTCTGTGACTATACCCGCCAGAGCGGACGGACTCTCGGACGCTCGAGATAGACGAGGAGACGAAATGGGCTGTGTGAGCTGGCTGTTGACGTAGAGAGTGCTATGGATCCGGTTGAGGAGCCGGCGGATGGAGCACACTGCCAGGAAGAGCAGCGCATCGCGGTCAGTATACGTACTGAAGCTCGGGAATTGCATCTTGCCAACGAGGAGTTCAATTCCAGTACGCGGTACGTGAAATTCTGCCAAGGTATCACTGGACAGCGTGCGATGTTAACGCATGACCATAGCCACAAGCCGATGAGGAAGAAATGGACGAACCTCTCGAAGATGAAACATGCCCAGACCAGACGGGCAGCGGGAGAACAGGTGTCGTGATTGGAACGGCTGGTTATCGAGCTGAGGATGTTAGCTTCACGCTACCTTATCCACGGCATGCACGTTGGCCACTGACCTTGCCACCGAGGATTGCAGCGTCACGGAGGTTAGATGGACCATTCTCCAGGCCTGAAGCGGCAGGTTCAGGTGCTGGAAATACAAAGCAGCATGGATGAGCGTCAGAGCGGAAACCTCAACCTTCTCATAACAGAAACCCCATAGAGCCGTTGCAAGTCTGTATGCTGGGGCAAAGTACTCCAGCCCCTGGGCGCTGTCGTGGTTTCCCGAGGTAGGGCAGTAAGGCGAGTTGGTAGCCACCTTGCCTAGAGCGAGTAGCACTAAGCATAAAGCGCTTTCTGCATCAGCACGAAGACCTTGCTCGAGGACTTGATGATAGAGCGGCATGAACATATCACGGTCCAAGACCGGAAATGCAGGGTGAACATAGGCGAAGAAGGCGCTGATCAGAGGGTCAGTAATTTCTGCATGGAGCTGGGGCAGCGGACTATTGTCGGTGATGTCCCTAAAGACGGCGTCCTGAACAGATATGGTCCTTGAAGACTCGAGCTGGAGGAAGAAATTGTCTGGGTAGTCACCTATGAGACTCTTGACTTGGGGCAGCAGGAACAAACTGCCCGTTGTGGTCCAGTGGCCGATGGGAATGGTCAGCGAGACATCGTGGGCGTCCTCGCCATCATCATCGACCACCACCCTGGCCTCGGAGTGAGAGCCGGGCAGCGGATATGCATGTCCTGTGCCATGATTTCCGTGCGTGTCTGCAATAAACAATCTACTCGTGGCTGCCAGCCGTGTCTCAGCCGGGACATGAGACGAGATGTCTGGGGCGGCATACGGAAATGGAGAAGTGCCATGGAAGCGGGATTCGAGGTTGGGCGGTGGACTCGTAGCCATCGACACTGACTGTTGCTTGACCTGCGCCTCGAGGTCGGTGAGGCGATTGAGAAGCTGTTGGAGGGTCTCGTCGGCGGCGATACCCCTACAAAAGGAGTATCAATGTATGGCCACAAACTCTTTTTGTCGTTTCACTTACACTTCTGGATACTCACAGTCGATGCCAGATTCGGCACACAGGCCGCATACCGGCTTCTTAGAATCACATCGTCGCTTTCTGTGGGAGAGACCGATGATTGTCAGCAGCTGAGCTCGCTGCATGTTGGCATGCTGGATGGAAGAATTTGTCTTACCTATGGCGGCAGTAATTGCAGGCCACAGCAGTGCGCTTCCTGGGGAAAGAAGACATCGACGGCTGCGCTGGTCATTATCAGCATCGCCGCTGGGAGCTAGCTTGGGCACGATCAAGGTGATATGTAGCACGGCGAATTCAGTATGGGGCTTGCTGGAGCAAGCGGGGAAGACGAAGCTAAAGGGAAACAGACGAAGAGAGGTTTGAGAGGTGAGAATGGAAGAACGTCAGCATGTGACATTTTGGGACGAGGACAAGACGGCAAACGAAGGGCACGTGACGCAGATCGGCGATGGCTGTGACTGACGGCCCCGCCAAGGCTATGTAATGACGGTCAGGGAAGGTACTCCGAGGGCCTTCGGCCGAAGGCCATCGGACGGCGCTAGTAGGCCTGTGTAAATTACTCGAGGTTATATAGTCTGACGGTCCCCAGGGCCCAGTAGAATTCACCATGTTCCTCCATTGAGTCACATGGCTTGCCACATAACGCGCTTGATTACGTGTACATGCAGCTCAAAAAACAACAATAACAAATCACCAGGGAGGGAACTGGGAAATAGTCAACCAGCTTAGCCGTCTTCCAGAAGCCATTGACCATACCGAGTCCTCTATCGTCTGCTTACATACTCATCTCCGTCTCCCGTAACCCGAGAGAACAAGATCCCATCAAGTAGAGCGCCTTGATATGCAAACATCTAATGCTACTGATGACTGACCTATTTTATGAACCAAGATAACTCAGTCCCGTCGTGCTCCATCGCCGTGCTTCCATCGGCCAAATACTGGAAGCGGTTGGAGGTGTGGTACTTGTAATCCCAATCTTCCCAACGTCGTCGTGAGATGGATTCCATGAAATGAGGTCCTGAGCCTGGCCAGGGGCCCCAGACCTTGCCGTCCACTGTTCCATTCTTATACCTGCAGGGGAAAAGCGAGATTAGTTTCGAGAGGCCAATGTTGTATTGTGTACTTCATCGTACACAATCGCATTATAGGCAGACTTACCATGATCGACAGGTCGAAGTCCACACCAAGTCCTTGACAATGTTGTCCTTGTGCTCCTGGAAGTCATCCACCGCCTCCTTCTTGGGCGAGATGGACTTGATATTTTCCGTCATCAGCCTCTCGACCACGTCAAAGGCGTACTGGATGTAAGCCTCGATGCACGGAATGAATGTACCATGCGCGGCGGGCGCGTTGGGACCGGCGGTCACTGTCTAATCGTTAGCTATGTCCACCAAATCAATTGTAAGGTGAACGCACTAAAATAGTTAGGAAATCGGGACGCCGCAAATCCCAAGTAGCCTCGCGGACCGTCCTTCCAGACCTCATTGAGAACGGCACCATCTTCTCCGATCAGTTTGAAGGGAGGGCAGAACGAAGTGTTGAATCCAGTGGCGCAGATGAGGACATCGAGCTCGACCTTGGTGCCGTCGCTGACGATCAGACCATCAGAAACGACCTCGGTGATTTCTTGGGTTTGCACTGTCACGTTGTCTTCACAGAGCGCTTCGAGATATCCATCACCGGGCGTAAAACTATCAATTCAATCAGCATTCGCCTTCGGGCGGACATGATCGATTGTTAACACTCACCGACGGCAACCCAAAGCAAAGTCCGGGATCAGCAAAGGGATCAATTCAGGCTTCTTGGCAAGGCGCTTCTTCATCTGCTCCTTGATCATCTGCAGGGTCTCCCTCTGGTCCTTAGAGTTCTTGCGGATCGTCTCGAATCCGGTGTTCAGGACATGGATGGCTCGCTTCCGGAATACAAGGAACTCCTCTGGGTTGTCGGCCCACCTTTTCTGCTGTTCCGGCGAGTACATGGTATCTCTACCATTAGGCGCGAGCTCGAGAGCCAGCTCCGGAGTGATGTACGTGGCCGAGCGGTGGAAGGTGTGCAAGTGTTTCGCAACTACAGAACATGAGCTTCGTCCACCATCCGCGAACGATTTGAATTGACCTACCTGCTTGGACCTGAGGAACGATCTGAATGCCGGACGAACCCGTACCAATGACACCCACAACCTTGCCTTCGAGTTTGGCGGAAGTATCATAGTGTGCCGAGTGGAGAAGTGTGCCTTTGAATGTGTGCAGGCCTGGGAGATCGGGCCATTTCCACGAGCTGGGTGCGTGGTTAGCCAAATAGGCATTTACAGACCTGAGGAGGCTGCCTCCACATACTTCAATATTCCAGACGCGTTGATCAGTACCTCAGCTTTGTCGGTGAGCGTCTCGCCGCGGGAGAGATCCTCGACGATGAGATCGTACTGTCCGTTAGCCTCATTCCATCGAGCTTCAGTGACCCGGTGCTGGAATCGCACATGCTCCGGTACGCCGTATGCCTTAGCCTCGGCCGTAAAGTAGTTGCGAATCTCTGTGGAATCCACGTAGACTCGAGACCAATATGGATTTCCCTTCCACGAGAATGTGTATGTATGAGACGGTACGTCGCAAGAGCACCTGATGACGAGACGATGTCAGCCCACGCTGTGGTGGTGGTTGGAACAACGGAAGCGGAGAGAGAGGTGGTGGCGGGGCGGCAGCGAAAGGCTTACCCAGGATAACGATTCTCAAACCACGTGCCTCCGACATTACTGTTCTTCTCATAGATGACGAGTTCAATCGGCTGGCCTTGAAATCGGTCTTTGAACATCTTCACTGCCGCAATGCCGGAAATACCACAGCCGATGACAACGATTCTCATGGGCCGCGCTTTTCTCGAAGGATGATGCGAGTACTGATAGGCGTGGCTTGTTCCATTGGCCAAATCGCCATTCGTAGCGTTCACATCACTATTGGTGATGTGAACGGCTGAGTTGGTAGATCCAACAGCCATGTTGCCGGATTTCGAAGATAGGAATCACAGGGTTTTGTTAGATGGACGATTCTGTGTGAGTGGGAGTTTTTCGAGCGTTCATCGACCTACAAGAGTCAAGTTCGCATCGTTGTCGAGTCAATATAATCTATTCTCTGGCGAAGGGACGACCTTCGGCTGCGTCTGGCCCAGGAACGATGTTTCCACCACCCCACAGGTACATTTTGCCTTCGGCACTCTCGCAGTCCGGATGGAGGACTCCGCCGCCGGGAACATCGGCAAGGGACACTCTACCAAGTGGTCGAATACCATACCGATTGTTGCGAAGCTCGAGCCTCGACTATCTTTTAGAAACAGAGGTTAGCGCTACAGTGAAAGGCCCGAAAGGATAACAGAACGGGGCAGATCTCTTACCGCTATCCCCGCCGACCCGCTGCTCAGCTCTGGATGGGCGAAATTGAAAGGCTCCACAGCAGAGGGGCTTGGCCCTCGTGTGATCTCTCGAGTCTAGAGCTACGGCATATGCGGCATGGGGCATGGGGCATGGCAATTGATGCGAGAGCCTATTGCGATGCTGTCCCAGTGGAGCTCTTTGACGTCTAGTTTTTTAAATAGTCCGGTGGGGTTCATTTGAGTGTTCAAGTCCTGGCATTATCCTCGCTATGCCAATTGACGACTGCGGCGAATAAAAACGTCTTTGTCATGGAGGCTTTACGGCTCCGATTCAGGCCGATGGTCTTCGAATTGCAGAAGATGATACATGTCGACAAAGTCATCGGCGACGTTCGGCGCATATTCTGTGATTTCCGGAATCGTTTACTTCGTCCTCCAGGCTGAGGAACGAGGATCTTGGCGCCGCTGCCTTGTGGATGCTGGCATCTATGTCTTGAGCTGGGGTCTCTTGGTGCTGGACTCCCAAATCGGTACTTCGGCTGAGAATCCAACCTTGTTGGCTGTACAGAATCTATCGGACGGAGGGGATACCTCCACGAGCGTGCTCGTACAGTATCCCTCGACAGGCCAGGAACGAGTACTGACTTCGACAACCGAATTTAGAACGAGTATGGCGTTTGTTCGCATTGAGGGCACCAAGGGCAGCATCTTTATGAAAGGTCTTTCGGCATCGATGCCGAAAGAATGCATCATCTTCTCAGGGCCTGAAAGGGTCTCCCTACATGACTCGATTACTGGTCAGCTGCCTCTGGGAGAGGTGCATCAATTCGAGGAACAGGGCTTAGGTCCCCACCATGAAGCAGACCATGTAGCGGTCGAAATGGCCGCGGGCAAAAAGGAGAGCTCGATTATCCCTCAAGCAGAGACAATAAGGGTCACGGAGATGTTGGATGAGATTCGGAAGCAGCGCGGGCTGAGATATCCACAAGATAAATAGACAAACCATAAAAAACTTCGAGAATATTTATATATTTAGTTTCATTCGAAAGATACTCATGTCTATTCTTACATTTCCGAGTACATCGACTTTCAAGGGTCCCATCCACCATCGACGTTGTAGACCGCACCCGTGACGAAGCTGGACTCATCACTGAGCAGGAACACAATGACTTTGGCAACCTCTGAAGGATCGGCTTGCCGTTTCATGACCTGCGGAGCCACAGATTGGGAATGACCTTGTCGCTGTTCCATCTCTTTGAGCATGGGAGTTGCTGTCGTTCCTGAAATCGACACAAATCAGTCTCAAGATTGGTTGCATCTCCCCTAATGGCACGATGTCTAGGCACTCGACTTACCGGGCGCAATTGCGTTGACCCTTACTGTCGGATTCTCTCGCGAGGCAACCTTAGTCAAACCGATGACCGCCCACTTACTCGCCGCGTAGCTAGCCACTCCGTAAAGCCCAGTCAGGCCTGCCACGCTGGATGCGTTGACCTTGAGCCGCGCAGAGAGCGAGTCAGCATGAGTGGATACTAAAGATGAAACGAATTGGAGCGTTGGAGGGTGGTAGAGCTTACAATACTTCCGCCATCTCTGATGTGATTGAGCTGTGCCCTCAAACAGTTGAATATGCCCGTTGCGTTGACATCCATGGTTAGCTTCCACACTTCGTCGGTCTCGGTGCGAATAGGACGATTCTCCCGGATTACGCCTGCGAGGTTGACAGCTCCGTCCAAACCTCCGTATTCGGCGATGACCTTGTCCATCCAAGCATCCACTTGCTTACTTTCACGCACATCGACTACCATGGCAGTGTGGGCTCGCTTGTCCGGGCCAGAAGTCATGGAGTGCAATGCAGCGTCCAAAACCTGTGGATTTGCATCAGCAATGCTGACGGTGGCTCCTCGGGAAGCCAGTATCTGAGCTGTGGCTAATCCAATCCCACTGGCGCCTATAATGGCAATCTATTGGGAAGGCATGGATTTTGTTTAGTTTCTGTCCTCATGATTGAGAGTGTTGTTGAGAACTCTGACGTACCACTTTTCCCTCGAACGATGCCATGCTGGAGACCAGAGAATGACGTTGGTTGCTTCTGTATAAGTTCGTATGGTATGCGAGGTTGAGAATCGAAGGATGTATGTAATTTTGGGGAGCAAGACTGCGTTAGATAGGAAAGGTTCTATATATTTTATCCACGCCTGGGCCGGGTTGCGGGTAAGGCGGGGAGATAAGTGCTGGACTTTGTCAGTCCTCATCGACTGACAGACCATAGCCTGCATACAACTGATTTTGTACAGCAGACTATGTAATCGGATGACAGCTTTCGAAGCATCACAGTAGTGCAGCAGGCTATAGAAACTGGACGGAGCCGCATACAGAAATGCCTATCTACTATTGACCATCTTATATAGAGCCTTTTCTAATTCCAACATCACCAAACGGAGAGGCAGGTCGCCTACAGGCAACAACTGTGTGAAGAAAGTCGCCGCTACGCCGCTTTCGCGATCGATGAACCACAGCAGATTCGGCATTCCATCCCAACTCACTGTGTTCTTCTTCCTTCGGCCTGCGACGTCCTCGTTGTTGACCACACCGCACAGACAATGCCCGATTTCCATAACATCTCTCCATTCTTCGAGAGTCTGAGTCCAGAGTAAAGACTTGGTATTTTTCGTGTCAGTACCAACGATGAACTCTCGTAACGATGCCACCGGAACTGGCCCCAGTTGCGCGCGGAACATCTCGTCCACGGAGGCTTTGCTCAACAATGGTCCTCCATCCGCAAGTAGAGCGGCCAGAAGTTTGCTATAGTCGTTGGCCGTGGAGTACAGACCCGCACCACCGAGGTCGTCGCGGCAGTCGAATTTCCACGGCGACGAGCCTTTCTTGAGATCCTGTGTACTTTCACCGGCGGCACGATAGGCCATTTCTTGAACGTCCTCCGGCTTGATGCCACGTTTAGACGGGAAAAAGGTCGTGCTTTCCGCTCCGAGCGGCCCCCAGATATTTCTCTGTTGGTATTCGTCTAAGCTCATGCCGGTGAGTTGGGCAACCACTCGGCCAGCCCAGTCGAGACCCGGGCCGTATTGCCACGACGTGCCCGGCTGGAAAACAAGTGGGTGGAAATTTCCCTCCATGGTGCCGGAGAACATGTTGTCTTTCCTGTCAGCCCAGGCAGAGTATTTGATGAGTAAAGGATTTCCTAGGTCGTAGCAGAGCCCAGAAGAATGTGAGATCAATTGCCTATGCGATCAAGCACCCAATGTCAGTAAGATTTGTGCTCGGACAAAAACTATGTCTCAATCACTTCAGACAAGGACTAACCGTAGGGTAATCGGCCCCTTGACATCCTCGAGTATCGGACTCCCTTTGGACTTCTTTTCGGACGATTGTACGCCGTGGAGTTTACGTTGGCCCACTTCCTCAAGATCCACGTGCGATTTGGCCTCGCCATTTGCGGTCGACTCGTCTTCGCCTTCGAACCCAGTCAGGACTTTCAGCTCTTTGAGTTGAGGAAGCACTTCTCGGACATCATCGTCGAGGTTGATCAGTCTCCGCTCAACGATTTGCATTACCGACACTGACGTGGTGAGCTTCGACTGACTGGCGATCCATGTCACGGTATCGGGCGTCAGTGCTGGTGAATTGCTAGTGTCGACTTTTTGATGCCCGAACGATTTGCGGTAGATATCCTTGCCTAGTTGGAGGAGGCTGTGTCAGTTCTTGTTTGGCATCCCGCATAAGAGAATTTGTAGAGTTCAGGTGACAGAGCCCACCTGCTGTGCAGGTGGGAATATGTAGTATACCTTCGCGATCTACCGCTACAAATGTTGCGCCATGTAGACTTCCAGTGACGGGATCTGTAAACCTTCCCAAGATCGCATCGAGTTCCGCCATTGATTTCTGTGTAATTGGGAGACTACTAGCCTGCTCTCGAAAGTGATGGGGAGATTCCGTCGCTACTCTTTGAGGAGAGGTCTTTGCAATTGTTAATCCAAATCTGCCTAAGCAGATCAAATCGAATATACTCTAGACGTTTACGATATACTATGCCGCCGTGGACTCCAGCCTGTTCCGTTTCTTTTGTCCGACACGTGGAGAATATAGACTCCCCAAATACGCCCGAAAATTTGGTGCCCCCGAAATAAGGGTAAACATGGCTTCGAGGCTCGAGCAGTATCCGCGCCAGTATCCCCGCCATGGCCCCTTCCATTTCGAACCATTCTTGCCATGTTGTCACGAGTCCATCGAAATCGGAATTCTCGATTGCTCTACAGGATAGCATCCATACTGACTTGGTGTTACCGCGGAACTCCACAAGTGGATACAATCACTGTGAAAAAGGGGGCTCGGTCTTCATCGGATCCAACCCGGCGGTCGACGGTTGCTTTTACGGGTCTCGAACATTGTGGGGATGGCTTCAGGCCCGCCTTCGATGTTCTCAGCTCGTTGCATGCAGAAGTGGCGTGTTTGACGCAGACAGAAGTCCGAGTGATCTCCTTACAGAGGATAAAATCTGTTCCTGCCGAGGGGAGTGGGGGCAGATGGAGTTGCATGGGGTAGCTACGAACTGAACTTGTATCGTTGAGGCCTGGGCTTACTAGATCCTTTGAAGTCGATTTCGGCAACGAATCAAGTAACCGAATGATAGAATAGGAGAAAAGATCCGAACTGGCGAGCTACCAAGGTAATCACAATCGAGATTGGAACTCTCTGATCAGGGTGGCCAACGTGACCATTTCGAGCACTCGTCGATCCCATACTTGCTGCCCTCCTTTGCTAAAGCCGCTGGATTTGATCCCGCCAAAGCTGTGTATGACGTTTAGTGAAACGTATCTCGTTGGCCAAAAGGGGCAAAGAAGACACTCACTGTGAGGCAGCATCACTCATGATACCAGCATTGACGCCGGCAATGCCAACTTCCAAGGCTCTGGTCACACGCCAGATGCGATGGACGTCCTTGCTCAAGAAATAACTGACCGGGCCAAAGTCTGTGTCATTCGCCTGGCTGACCATCAGCTTCGGTCTTGAAGCGGAACAGCCCAGCAACGGGCCCAAATGCCTCTTCTGATGCAATGTCTGCTGTGATATTCCCCAGCACGGTGGGAGCATAGTAGTTGGGACCCAACTCGGGCATTACACGTCCTCCTACCAATACCTTTGCGCCTTTGGCCGCAGCGTCGCGAACGTGTGAGTCGGTATTGTCAACTGCCTTGCGATTGATCAACGGCCCGTGAGTAATGCCAGGCGTTCCGAGGTTATCCCCAACCTTGAATTCATTGACCTTGGATGTAATTTTCTCTGTAAAAGCATCGTAGAGCAAATATACACATAGATCTTGTTAGCGCAGACGCACGTTTGGCCAGAGCCGCGGAATTTGCTGGCAAGAGTACCTGCAACGGCCAGGTCGATATCGTTGTCGTCGAAGACGATGAAAGGGGCATTGCCACCCAGCTCCATGGAGGTCTTTTTAAGAGTCGTGTCTGTACACTGTCGGATCAAGAGCTTGCCAACCGGCGTCGAGCCTGTGAACCAAATCTTCTTGATTGAAGATGAGGACGTCGAGGCGTGTCCCACTTGAACTGTGTTTGCTGATGCTGTGATCACATTGATGACGCCATTCGAAAAACCTGCCCAATGCGCCAACTCAACAATCGACATTTGCCGTCGATGGAGTTTCGTCAGGCGACTTAATAACGACGGTGCAGCCAGCCGCGAGCGCGGGAGCTGCTTTTCTGATGTTTTGCTTTGTAGGTCGGCCAATGCCAAATACCGTTTTGCCTCGTACGCATTTAGGACGGGAGTGTACCTTGTCATCATCGCCGCAGGGAGGTTCCAACTGCGTGTCGTGTTAGTGAAACCGGCTCATACGTGCTGTAATCGATGAACTGCTTACGGAGTGATCAAACTGTAAGGTCTGATGGGTTCGCGTATGGTGAGGACCGTGTTACCAGGGACACTCGCAGGGATAACATCCCCACACGCTCTGACCGCTCCTTCACCAAACCATTGCGGGAAGACTGCCGAATATGCGACCTCGCTCTTTGCGTCGACTAGAGCCTTGTCATTCTCGGGTGTGACCAACGTGGCAAGATCATCGCCATGTTCAAGTATCAAATTAGCCCAGCGCCTGAGCATGTGAGCTCGTGCGCGGGGGAGAGTGAGCTTGAAGGAGGAAATGGCCGCGGCAGCAGCATTTATCGCTCGTTCAGTGTCCTCAGGCGAACATTCTGGGCCACTGGCAATGGCCTTCCCAGTGGCAGAATCTAATCCGAGGTCAGGACGTTTCAATTCCAGATGGATCAATGTTTGTCACTGAAAACATCGAATATCGTTCTTGACTTGGCATCTACCCATTCTCCATTGAGATAGGACTTTTCAATGAAGAGAGAGCTATCCTGGTCTAGAGGAGATATTGTCAGTCGTTCACCACCCGTCAGAAGAGAATACCTCCGATGAAGGTGAACATAGTTAGGTCGAGTGGCTGCCATTGGATGACGAGAAGGGCAGTCTGCCTCAAAAGACTCAGCAGCTGCTGTTCTGTGAGGTAAAGAGTCCGGAGAGAGTGCAATGAAAATGGAAAATTCACGGAATCAGAAGGACGATTACGTTGTTGGACAGGTGGATGGGTATGTTACGGCACCAGGTACTGTATTAAGGATCAAAATTTTGAGAACGGGTCTTTCTATGCTTCACCCATCCTCTTAATGCCCTCAAGGATACTCATCATCACTACGTTGCTCAAGAATCATCGAGAAGTTTCCCTGTATTGGCTTATCTAACCACTCAACTGTCGACCATCTCAGCACGCTTAGAACAATGTGAAGACTTACGGTATCCGGGAATAAAGCACAGCAGAATCGCTTGTGAGATCAGAGGTGGCACGAAGCCGGCGACCGCGATACGTGCCAATCGCGACAAGTATTAGCCCAATTTACGATACCACATGTTATTACGAGTCTATTTTTAGACAGACGTGAACTACGTATCTCTGTGAGTGAAGGCGCACGATACACCATTCCATCATGCGCAAAGCATCAAAGTTTGGGCTATGCAAATTGAAACAATTTTCATCCCATAAACACAATGAAACTTCTTCGGCCGCCTTCTATGAGGTGGTGGCAGGCTGCTTACTGGCTCCTTCGTTGCTCGTCAGGAACGAGTCCATGTACTTCTGTTGCAATGCCGGAGTGACACCCGTGGCCGCATCCGCAGACTCACGGCCATCGTGGAGGTACTTGTCGACGGCTGTGCCGGCATATGCCTCGACGTCGTAACCTCAGAGCTCGAGCACGGTCTGCAGGTCGCCGTACAGATTGCTGCTCCGGACGTAGAATTTGCCACCCAGCTCTGCCGTCATCGCTTGATCTCGACCCTGTTGCCCGGGACCATGTAGTAAGTTCCCGATTGCACAGGAACGACACCTGCTGCTTGAGATATGCTTTGGGCATCCTCTCGGCCTCGTAAATGTGGACTGCTTCAGCAATCTCAATCTTTCCCTGAACCATGCTCTGGATGCAGCGTGCGAGGAGTTCGCCATTTTCCATCGAGGCCGCGGCACCCTGTGCCATGTGGTTGACCATGGAATGAGCCACGTCGCTCATCAGAAAGACATCCTTTTGTGGAGATGACCACGACCGCATCGTGCCCGTGACCGTGAGGGCCAGTGAGACTGCGAGGATGTCAGTAAGCTTGTCAAGGCGGACACGCGAAAAGGGGTCACTTACGACATACTCCACCATGTTGATGATGCGCACAATGCGGGGATCGAAGTCTCTGTACTGGCTGCGGAACTTTTTGATAGGAATGTCCGGCTGAGTGGCGCGAAGCTTTTCAGCCGTGTGGTGCGATAGGACGAGATTTAAAATCTCGCCGGCGCTGATGGGGTACGTGATGACGTATGCGTTGCCGTCTATCCACACTTCCATGGTCATCTTCTCGATCAACTATTTGGCCATTGGATCTTTAGGAATCTGCTCATAGGGGACCAGCGCTCAGTAAGCGTGGTTGGTGGTCGGTGGTTCGAGGGCGACTCCAGGAAACAGAGTCCGTCTGGTGATGCTGTTGACGCCATCGGATCCGACGAGGAGGTCAAAGGATTACTGCGCTCCGTGACGAGTGCCCACGGTGACTTTCTGGGCAGTTTCGCACTGAATGGAAGGGACGGCCGAGTCGATGTGAACCTGGGCTCCCAGTTTGGTCGCCATGGCAGCGAGTCCTTCGTGAAGATATGCTCGGTGAATCACTCACCAGGGGCGACCGAGAGACTGCTCCAAAGCAGGAATTCTGGTATGTCCGACCGACTTGCTACGTCTTCGGCGCATTTTAAGCTCTTCAAACCGGACTGGGTTCTCGCCGATGACGGTGTCGGCACCCCATATCTGTAGCAGGACGGCATATTAGGCGTCATCTGGATGCCGGCACCGATCGGTTCACAGACGTTAGCAAAGGTCCTGGCTCTCATACGGAATAAAAGTGATGTATGCTTCACCCAGTTGCTCAGTGGCTTTGAGGACAGTGGACTTTTGCACCGGCTCTGCACAAGGCAATGGTGGCCGCGAGCCCACGCAGCGACTTCGGGCCTGGCGATGCTGGCCGGCAACCTAGCGCCTGCAAATTACTTTGAACCTAGTAACGACTACTATGATTTTCTGACGGAGATCGGCTTGGGGGGAGCGTATATAAGCCCACGCGAGACTTCTGGGCAAAGACCATCAGAGAGAACTATACTGGTAACGAGTGGAAAATGCAAATTTGCATGGCGGCCATCAATCTCGCTGCCCGTGACGGCCTCTACGAGCGCCTCTCCTTTGTGAGATACCCTGTTCTCTGGTGTCAGGTGAGTCAGCGCATGAACCGTGCCCCAATCCCAATGAGAAGCATTTCAGGCAATGGTTTTTTCTGTGACAAGGCACGACCGATGTCGTTTTCAGTTACGCGAATGCTGAGGAAGAGATCAAACTGTTTATCAACTCCGAGGAAGCGAAGCTGGTCAAGTTTGAGGGTGGACCGCACTTCTTGAGCTATACTCACCACGCACAACTGCATCAGGACTTGCTGCGCTTCGTTAGGCGATGGAGTGGCAATGCGAGGGCTATCATCTAGTTCTGTACACACGATGGCTGTCTGCGGCCACCTTTTAATTCTATATACGTATAGTCTATCACTAAAAAAATCCACAGGATGAGTGCAAATCCATGGGCTCGAGTACAGCGTCCCATGCATATTCCACACGCTCCAGACACTGTTCTTTATTGACATACGCATCCTTCGTGGGGCGCGTCCCTCCCGCGTGGCTCATGTCGGACCTGTATGCGCGGCAAGGTTGTTGTTCTAGCAACAGTCAACTAGGAACGAGTCGGGGATACTACTCCCGTATCAAGCGATCCTCATCTCCATGATGTTTGGAGTTCCAAACGTGCCACCCATGACAGCTCTGGAACTGCTTCAAACACCCTCTTCCGCCGCAGCGCGGATAGGCGGGAGCCCAGACCCACCCTTCGACTCTCACTTGCCTTGCGACCAGAAACTCGCCTCTTCCTCGTCCTCGGATCCTGCCCCTTTGGGTCTTGGATGAGATCTTGCGATGTACCAAGACGTCACCAGAATCTCCGCGGCACCACATTGGTGTTTCCTCTGTACCCCTAGATCTTCCCGTTGACCGTCCATTCCGTCGACCGTCACGGTAGAGCATCCATGTCGGTGGGCCTGCCTCTGAACTTTATCTTTTGCACGCGACTTGTAGTGGAATCCCCAGAAAATTTCCCCACAATCCGGGATCGGGCCAGACGACACCAGTGCTTTTGCACCATCATTATATATTCCTCGCCACATCCCTACTATCAGACTTTGCTCTACCACCAGCGTCCACGTCCGGGGAACCTCGATTACAGCCATTCTCCAACCCTCTAATCTTTGACTCCTTTGACGGTGTGCAAGATGGGTGGCCCCATTGGCGCTCAGCGAGATGTACAGTCGGAAGCCAAGTTCAAGCAAATCCCCAATAACACCAATAGCTGGTGGTTCAAGGATCCTGGTACGTCGAAATGATCAGTCTGGGTCATACTGCATTGCCATGTGCATTCACTAATCAATGTGGCCCTATAGGTCTACGAGTCAACATGATGCACTGCATAGGCCTATGCGGCACGCTCTTCTTCAACGGCTGTTGGTCTTCCCCCTTATCCCCACATGGTAACGGGACATCAGCTCACAATGCATCAGATGATGGCAGTTTGTTCAACGGTCTTCAAAGTTTGGACGCGTGGCAGGAGTACTTCAACCACCCGACCAGCAACATTCTGGGCTTGATGAATTGTGCCGGTTTCTTACCGGGTCTCATCGTCTGCTGGGTGGCAGATATCATGAGCCACCGATATGGTCGTCGCCCCACGGTCTGGCTCGGTTCGGTCTTTGCTGTGCGTGCTCGTGCCCTCCGGGATGCAATGCTGCCTTGGTCTACCTTCCCCGCCGCCACTAACCATGGATTCTATAGATCATTGGCGCTCTCATCATCTCTCTAGCCAACGGTCGGGGCATGTTTATTGCCGGTCGCGCGATTTTGGGTATCGGCGTTCAAGGGACTCTGGTCCCCGCGCCGTCGCTGATCCAGGAAATCGCGCATCCCAGATATCGAGCCAAGATTGGATCCATGTGTAAGCCATGTTGCTGTTGTTGTGCTGTGCCTAGTTGAGGTGCTAAAACTGCTGCAGATCTCAGTATCTACTTCCTAGCTGCCATCATCTCCGCCTCTGTTTGCAGAGGCACCCTCGAACTGGTTGGCAACAAGTCGTGGAGAATTCCATGCTTCTTGCAGATCATCGGCCCAGCATTCGTCATCCTCTTGACGCTAAGATGTCCAGAATCACCTAGAGTAAACCCGTGTCACTCTCTCGAATGCGATGTACTCGGATGGCTGACTGTGTGCAATAGTGGCTCGCAAAGAAAGGCCGACAGCAGCAGGCTCGTGATGTTCTGGCCATGTATCACGCCAACGGCAAGCAGGATGATCCCTTGGTCGAGTACGAGTTCCTTGAAATCCTCGAGGCTCTCAAGGAAGAGGAGGCCAACTCGCAGACCGAGTACTCCGACTTTGTTCGAGGCCCGGGTAATCGTGTCCGCCTACTCATCATCATTGTCGTGTCTCTGGGAACTAACTGGGTGGGCAACGGCATCATCTCCTACTATCTGGCCCCAATTCTCGGCACGTTGGGTGTGGACTCGCGCGATCAACAGCTCGAGATCCTGATCGGCCTTCAAGTTTTCAACTGTGGGTCTCTAACAACCGCGCGGTTGAAGGGGCGAATGCTTACATTTGGAAATAGTCTGTCTGGCTACCGCGGCAGCTTTGAGCGTTGACAAGGTCGGTCGTCGACCGCTCTGGCTCACATCTACCACCGGCATGCTCATCTCCTTCTCCATCGTCATGGGTCTGTCAGCGAGTTATGCCGCCCACGCCCGCAAGGCTGTGGGGGTGGTTGTTATCCTGTTCCTCTTCATCTTCAACGGTTTCTATGATATCGCCTGGACACCCCTGTCCTACTCGTGAGTGCATTTGCCCCGAGTTATCCACCCGGAGGTTGTGTTGACCTTGTGCCGGTGCAGGTACCCCGTCGAGATCCTGCCTTTCTCCCTTAGGACTAAGGGCCAGGCCATCTTTGTCTTCTCCCAGACTCTCGGCATGTCGGTCAATCTCTGGGTCAACCCAGTGGCACTCGATGCTATTGCATGGAAATAGTGAGTACTTGCCCTTGGTCGTTTTTATCAATTGCCTCGGAAGCTGACTTTTCCGTCCACTAGTTATGGTGTTTACGTCGCTATCCTCTTCGGCCTCGTCATACTGATCTATTTCACCTTTCCCGAGACCAAGAACTTGACCATCGAAGAGATCGCCATTGTCTTTGACGGTGACCGGGCGATGAAGATCGTCGAGGTGTCGCAGGGTCAGGTGGGCGTTTTGGAACAAGAGCACGAGCACAGCGAGGGCAAGGGACCCAGTGCCACAGCCACCGAACATGCCAACGTCTGCAGCTGAGCTTATCATCAATGTTATATGGCTATCACATTATGCCGAAGCTACATACAGCTGTTGTGGGAGGTTGTTGTGTCGCAAGTCAGGCTGTCAGATTAATTCGCGTGGTCGATGGGTGTACAGAGGGTGCCACAAAGCGAATCGTTTTCGAAAGATAACGCCTGATGCTTTTTTGGTATTGTGCACAATAGCGGTTCCTATATATATTGCTGACCGGAGATGGCTCAGCAAATCTTTACTTCTATATTGCTCGTACTGCAATGCAGCACCATGTCACGTGAAATATTGCGTCTTCAACCTTCAGTTGGCCATGATCCCAGACGATTGGAAACCGGATCGGGGCCAAATGAGTATCTCCATAACCAGACATAGCCTGGCAGCTCTACATGGCACAACCGAGCTTACCCGGCCACTGTTCTCTCACGATGTCAGGTATAGGTAGGCATGGGGAAGTTAATGTCCTATCTCGCTCGTCTCCACACAGTCGAGAGCGTGAAGTATTACCACACCGACCGACATGTCTCGCGGGTACTACGGCACAACACCCGTTTATATTGAGATTACCCTTTTTGGCATAGCTTAGTCCACATATACATGTTCTTTAATACCTCCCGCTGCTAATAGTCACACTTGTCGGAAACACGTCTAGTGATAAAGTACTTATAAAACGATGTTCGACATCTGAGCTTCTTGAGGAGGGGCTGCTGCGGGTTTTGTACGCCTCGCAGAGTTCTTCGTTTGCACATGATCAAAAAACACGACCTCGTTGAAAAGGCTAGAGGAACGTTATATGCTCTGCTGTTCCGTGGCAGAGCGCACGGAGCCACAGAGCACTCAAAGCCCTGATGTTAGTGTATGCACGAGTAAATATATTTACGTAGTCAACTTCGCTTATGTCCATAACCACATCTTTTGCTTATCGATCGGTTCCGCTCTAAGGCACATCGACACGCTCTGTACCCGCAGTCTCATTGGCACTGCCTCTCGGATACAACCTACAACAAGGTCCCACCTTGTCTCGTGAATACTCACGTGGAGCGATTCATAAGAGAAAAGGCACATAATTCTATGTGTATCCACTAAGAAATTATAGGTCCTATTATGCCCTACACGTGGCCCGAACTAGTTACTCGGTGCTGGGTTCGATACAAAATCCGCGTTGAATTGGGTATCAGGATACCTCCCAACAACCTGTGTCATGTGGTGGTACAGGAAACGGTACTCACTGGGAGGCAATCCATCAGGACTAAATTCTGTCTCTCTCTATAGACCGAGTGCTATTTGGATGCGTTAATTATCCCTCTATCTTTGCCACCAGTACGCCTGATCTCTCTATGACGTTCGAGTGCCACCGATATTATTGAAAATCTGAAGTCCTTGATTGATGCACACTTGACAGCCAGAAAATTGATTGGACTGACGCGTGGATATAGGAATAGAGTATCAATCGAACTGTGCGTCTGGTAAAGAGTGTAGCAAGCTTGTTAAACAGTGTGAGACACTGATGCATGCTGCAGACCTCGGTGCGTACCCTTAAAACGACTTGATTCCGAAATTGGTACCCGGACGCCACCTGAGATATATTCACTCCACATGAATTACTTTGAATTGTACAACCTTTTCCTCTCGTGTCACATCAATGAGTTTCAAAGCCTGGTCGCCATCAAAAGCGACAGCGACTTCTTCAACGGTTAAGTTCTTCGTTTCAGGGAAAAAAGAAGTAGATGATAACCATGAGGACCGATAAGATAGCGATGGAAACGGAGTAGCTATATAAGAGAACCAGGTTAGAAATAAACAGTATGAGCACAAGCCTGTGATAACATACTATTTCCAGTGCAAAGAAGTAAGCGCGACAGGATTGGCCTAAGTGGTGATGGCCCGAGCAGCAGTCTGTGTCCAGACAAAAATAGCTTGCCCTTTCGTCCTCATGGAGAACGTAAGGATTTCAACAGGGTAACTGGGCGCAAAGTGTCAGTTCAAATTCATAATGGTCAGATTGTCAAGAGAAGAGCCAAAAAACTTACGAATAGGGTAACACAGTCCACGCCGCTATACTCAGCGGAGAATCTTG